CACTGTGGCTTGATCCCATTGTGCTTGAGTCAGGGTGACTCAATGACAGCTAATAACAGCACTGACTACATATGCCCATATAAAACCTGTTCGTAGGTAGGCACGCTTCATCAGAAACTTAATTCTCATTTAAGTGTGTAATTCAGGGTATCCTTTATTTAAACAAAATCTCACTGCCATTGAGTCATTTTTCTGACTCATATTGGGCCCTGCTTGGGTTTTCAAGGTGGTATTTCTATGGAAGTAGATTGCCCAGTCTTCCTTCTGAGGACTGGCTGGTGGGTTTGAACCGCCAGCATTCTGGTTAGCAGCTAGCACTACGCCACCAGAAAGAAAAAAAAAAAAAAAGTATTTTCTAGCTATGGAAACTTCTCTGTCTAGTCCTAAGAAATGCTCTTATTTAAAACAGGAATAGGAGCTTGTGTTCCATTCTCCATCCTACAATGAAAATTAATCATTAAGATAAAGTCCCTTTTTGGGAAAAATAAATCCTCATTGATATGGCCAATCCTTTTGTCATTGAATTATGTCTTCTCTCTTTATAAGATCAATGAACTTCTCCATTTGGGCAATGAAATGATGGGGCTTTGGAATCTATACTCTGTGGTCTCTGAATGTGTGAGTCCATAGACTGTAGGCATTTGGAGGATTTATCTCAGAGGGGATCCTGATAAATTGTTCTGTTCCCACTTGAGAAAAGCAGGCAGGGCATTTCTCCTGGGGCTCTCATGGCAAGCAGGAAAGAACCAAAAGGGCTAGAAAACAATCTCCCTGATCATGCTAGGCAGGCCTATATAGGTCCTGGGACCTGTGGCCTTTGTTTTGCATTAGGATTTCCTGCTTTTCTCCCAACTTCTTCATATTATCTGTGAGCTTCTATTATTAGTGAGTGGTAGCCGGAGGAAAAGTCACCACTACCAGTACTAGCAGCATCACTTACTTCCTTTATTATTTCAGCTTAAAGTCCAAGACAAAAAGAATTATATGAAATGATGCATGAATCAGTTCTAAATATTTGAAAGAAGGATTGGGGAAAAGACTGTTACAGTTTCAACATCCTACTCTGTAAAGCAGGGGTATTGTTGAGGTATGTTTTCAACAGTGTCCTGTAGCTTATGGCCCCTGTCATTGTTGTCTTTGGGTAGAGCGATATAGGAGAGAGCAGCAGAATGACCGAGAAGGCAAGGAGCAATGGAAGAAGTTGCTGCAGTGTCATTCTTTATGCTACTTTCAATGTCTGCTTCTATATATGTTAAACCAAAACATCCTCAAGGGCATTGAGGGAACATCTTTCTCCCCACCTATTCCATTCTCTCCTATGACCTAACAAATACTTTCCTGCTAGATATATTTCATGGTTAACAACAAATTAACTACAGAGGCAAGAAGTTAATGATAATATTAATAGAAAAAGTAAATTATACTGTTGGAGCTGGGGAATTCGCAAGATCCCTAAGTATGCCACCAGTGTTAGTTATTCCAATAACAGTTGTGAGGGCAACAGTAAAGTTATTGTTTGGTCTTGCTGAAAAGATTCTGGGTTTTCCACGATAGACTTGGTAACTCAGACTTCTCTCTGTTCCCTTGACTGTGTGCTCATCAGTCTTGAATACAAATTTATAATGCACTGCTAAGTCACTACTGGCACAAGTGAACATATGAGTATGTTATCAGCCTATAAAACTCCCCACCCTCACTTGTTCTTTCTCACTCCCTCCCCTCAAACACACACACCCCTCAATTTTTTTCCTGTAGCACATCATACCACTGGCCCCTAAGGAATAGAGATGTTTTGTTTTCTTACATCTTGGATATAGGCAGTCCCCAAGTTACAAACAAAATGTGTTCCTAACTGCATCTGTTAAATGGAACTTGTAGGTGAGTCAGAACAGGTGCATATGGTTCTTATTTAGCCTTATTTTAGTGCAAGAAAAGGCTCAAAACCTTCAATGATTTAAACATTGCACATGCAGCAAGTGAAAGTGATCACAATAAAGAATTGGTTCAGAGGTTTTAGAGTGAAGGCAAATTTGCATAATGTTAAAGGGCAAATAGGAGTTGTCTGTAAGTCAGGTGTTTGTAACCTGCGGTCTGCCTGTAGTAGATTTTTTTTTTTTTTTAATTTTGATTTGGGTGAAAATTTATGGAGCAAATTCACTTTCTATACAGCACTTCACATACACTTTGTCTCATGACATTGACCACAATTTACCACAGTGCAACAGCTCCCCTCCCACTTCCTCCCCGTAGTTACCTCTTCCCTGTGTCCATCCCTCCATGCACTCCTGCCCCCTGAGCTGTCTGCCTGCACACAAGCAGTCCTCCTTTCTCCCATGATTGTTCTCTCCAAGGAGTGTATCTACCTCAGGTAAATGTTCAACTCATATGCCTGTCTTTTGTTTGGCTGGAAGCCACAGGGTTGGGTTCAATTCCAGACCTGAAGGGCAGCTAGAAGCCATAGTCTCAGTCCAGCAGGCTCTATCGGGACCAGCAAACCTGGTTGCCCCCCCCCCTTTTTTTTTTCTCCAAATGATTTTGAGAACAATTGTTCCACATTGTTCTCCCTCTCTATCAAGGATCTCCTACATAGATCCTCTTCCAAGTGGATGACAGTGATAGCCGGGTACTGTGTAGTTCTTCTGGTCTCATAGTCGTATAGGCTGCAGATCAGATGGTGTATGTACCAGTCGCTAGGACTAATTGTTTCTATGAAGTTTTGGTTTTCTTCATTCTTTTTTGTCTTGGACGAGGAGAGACCCATCATTGCATCTAGATGAAAACTTGCTAGCTTTTAAGATCCCAGTCACTACTCGCCAAAGTAGGAGTTGGAACAATGTTTTGTATAGTATGTTATGCCAATTGAGCTTGATGTCCCCTGCAAGCGACTGTGGTCCCGAGCCCACAGGTTCAGCTACTCGGTTGCTCTGGGTAACTGGCTGTGACCAAGCAGTGACCGCAGCCTTGCCCCTTGTCAGCTCTACTATACACCTGGTAATTCTGATCATTCACATAAACTTATAGGACTATTGTCTGCCAACCCTATACATGTTCTTGGATACACTCCCCACTTCATAGACATACCTACTAGTTCAGCCTGGCCACCCATCTGTCTACCCGTATACCCATGTTTGCCTTCACTGACAATGCAGTACTGTACGTGCAAAAGGATTCATCTTTGATCTGCAGTAGCTTTTTGGTCAACCTAGTCATGTGGTTCCTTTCACTATTCTAAGATTTCTGATGTCTTGTGGATCTTGTGAATTTCATTCTTGAAACAAAACCAAGTACCACAATAGTCTGGGAATTGTAGACATGTTACTTATTCACTGTAGGCTTGGATTTTCCTTTTTTCATCTAATTAGTAACTGTGTTGGAGAGCAGGCGAGTAGCAAAGGGGAAGCTATGATGTTTCACTTCTTTTGCTCCTGCCTCCTTTCTACTTTCAGGCCCAACTAACCAAATTCCACAGTATCTTTCCTCTCATTTCCCTGGTGTGGTGAAAAACTGGCAGTTGTCATTTCCTTGAGAAAAGGACTGTTTTTCAGTTTGTTTGTTTGTTTTTTCCTGTCTGCTTAGTCTGTAAATGCACATGTAGGTTACTCTTACTGCTTGTCTGGAAGTTTTTCCACATATGTGTGATTTGGAAGATGACAGAGGGCATGTTTGACTTGTTAGAGATGACCAATGGATCAATTCAATGCATGTCACATGATTGGAGGGTCCCACACTGACTTATCGCTCCTTGAAAAAGGTCCTGCTACCTGAATTGCACTGACTCCTGCCTGTTGAACAACCCAGCATCGTCCTTACAGAAGTACAACTATACTAACTGGTATTGCATTCAGCGATTTCCGAAGTGGTAGTACTGGGAAATCCTCCATCTTGCACTTCCCAAGCTAGCTCCCCCCTGCCTCCAAGAGGTCCGCGTTGCTTCCTGTTTGAGGAAAGATTGTGCTTCTCCACCCATCCCCTCTCCTTTCCCCTCCATTCACCTTCTCTATGTTCTTGGTCTGGGTGTTACCATTTGCTTACTGGTAACAGGATACTTTGAATTTTCACTCACAGCCTTGAGAAGCTTATGAGGCTTTCCTGCTTCCCACCCAGCCCAAACCTTGAGACTTTTCACACACTGATCCTCTGATTAGTATCGGTGCAGGAAAGCACATGGAAGCCATGTACCAGTTTGTATAGTGTACCCTTTTGAACTGCCTATTCTTGAACAAAGTACAGTGTGCTGGGGGTTCGCATTGGCTGCTTGACACACAAAAAGCCAATTAACCTGCATGCAAAAAAAAAAAAAAAAAAAAATTAACCCTTAGAGTACTGCTTCATATTCCTCAACATTTTGGTTTGATGGTCTAGAATTTTATCAGTTGGGCTATACATTTTCCCCCAGATCAGAGTATGTGAAGTCCATACATAGTCTAGTCAAACATCAACCAGGATCCTCTCCTGCACAGCTTCCTTGAGATGCTCCTGGCTCCTTTATTTATTAGTGAACTAATTGCTTCCTCAAGGTCTAAAACAGAGCCACTGTGCTTAATTGAAAATGGGTTCCACGTCCAGGGGGCTGGAGGGTGTGAAGGGCAGTATTTATCTTTGGTACATATCCTCGAAAAGAGATAAGTCAGTTCTTTAAGGGTTAATATGAAATTAAGGAATTTGATGATCTCTCCTGCTTGTCCTTCCTCCAAGGTGTCTGCATGATCCTCTTTAGAGTCTTAGCTCAACTGTTGAATGATGGTAAAAATAATATGAATACATAAAATTATATATATGTATATATATAAAACAATAGAAGAATGAAAGTCTGAATGGTTGAATGGAAAGACCCCTTGGCAATGCTTGCTTGATTATCACAGGGGGTGGAAAGACCAAATGTTTTATTTTATAAACATTCATTTTGTCCTCTACTCCAAGCACCACCAGTTCTCAGCATTGTGGAAACCTTGATGATGCTTTGCATTTACCTCTTGCTTTTTCTTCTTCCTGTCTAATAGCCCAATAGAATCCTGCCAGAATTTCTACAGAGATTTCACATTACAGATCGACATGGCTTTCAACGTGTTCTTCCTTCTCTACTTTGGCTTGCGGGTAAGTTTGAGCTACATTGCTCAGTGGTTTGATGAGGGCATGGAACTCTGGTATCCACCGATCATGCTCCTTCACTCTCTGCTCTTAGAGGCAAGATGAAGCCCGTGTTATCTAGGAAGCGAAATGTACCTGCATTATGATTTTCTGTCTGCAAGAGAGCCCTTTCCTTAACTAAACATTTTCTGGAACATGTTAATTTTGTTTCAAGGATGAGAAATAGAGATCAACTATTTCATAGAGATAACTATTAATGCTCCCTGGAAGATTGTTTCTCAGCCATTCAATCATTATTCCTTTAAAAATTAAATACAGGGAATAAAACAAAACAAAACTTTAAAAATTATGTTTAGCACTGCTCATGTTGCCAAGCAATGAAGGAGCAGTTATGAGAATAAAATCCGGGGGTAGACTGGTAGAATTTGGGGTTTGGAATTATATGAGACTCTGTTTAAGGGCGCTCTGCTGAATGTAGATTATACAGATGTGTGTGTGTGTGAATGAATGCATACACGCAGCTTTATTTACAATTATATTTACATTAGAGAGTCTAATGAAAGTAAGATCACTCAACCATCCCTATGATGCTGTTGTTGGAAATCACAGAAAAATATGCTGCCAGATCTCTCTCTAAGGCTAACATAGCATATATCCTATCATTTACACAAAAGAACTTTCAGATAAAAATAGCATCTGACTGGTATAGATATGAGAAGAACTGCAACATCTTCTTCCAGACTCCCATGAAAAACCAAAACATACCCTTTGGCAGAGTATATAGATTTAATGTCACCACCATGCTTCTGATTATTCTCTCTCTTTTCTCTTCTTTCTCCAGTTTATTGCAGCCAATGATAAGCTGTGGTTCTGGCTGGAAGTGAACTCTGTAGTGGATTTCTTCACGGTGCCTCCCGTGTTTGTGTCTGTGTACTTAAACAGAAGCTGGCTTGGTAAGTCAACCTCCTCCTCACTGGGTCCTGGGCTATGGTTAAAATATGGAATTTGGGATTTAGATTGGGCAGCCTGGTTGCGCCCACAGAAAGAAAGTTTTTGTGTAGTAATGTGAACAACTCTCCTGAAGGTTTGGAAGTTGGTGATGATAATTCTCCTTGGTGCACCCGGCCACACGGATTTGCACAGGTAGGACAACAGGTAGTGCAGTCTTACTGTTGTTGAGCTCGAGGTGTCATCACTGTCATGGCCAGGACATCCCTGTTCATAGGTCTGCTACTTTTCATTCAGGAAGTTGGAGTCAGGAGTGGACAAAGCAGCCTATGGGGACAAGGCTGACTTTCCAAGTGGTTGATTTAGGTGCCCCAGATGGGCTGCCTGCCAGTAGCATCTACCTGTGCTTCATTTTACAACCAGAAGGCTTTGCATGTTTTTTTTTTTTTTCTTTTTAATAGTTTTGAGTTCCTTTGTGGAGAAGGGAAAAGAGAAGCTTCTGGAGTTAGCCTCTCAGCTTACAGGAAGCAGAGCTCCTTCCTGTGTTAAAGGGAGAGCTTTCCTTGGAGCTGTGCTGGAACATTACTTCCTATCTCTCGAGACTATGCCTACTGATGTGAAAAGTAGCCCTCTCGGAGGATGGTCATGGCAGCCATGGGCTACCAGAGACCTCTTGCAGAAGTTCTTTTTGTCGTACTGATTGATTTTCTCCCTGAAGTTGAGTGTTTCTGTGGCCAGTGGATCTACTGGGGGATTAAGGGAGGCTAACGCAAGCCTTTGAGGACTATTTGTGGGTTCTTTTCATATTTACATTTAGAAATTTTTGGATTAACTTCATTTTTTTTTTTGGAGTAATATATATGTATTTTAGCCAGTGAAAGCATTCAAAAATGTTTAAAGAAAATATGAACTATCTCTTCCTGATGTATCCTTCACTGCCTTTTCCCCAAGATGACCAAAGTGAATAGTACTCTGTATTTTTCTTTAACACCCATTCTATCCCAAACAAACATGTCCATGTATATGCAAAAGTGTTTTAGAGGTTCTTGGTTTTGTACAAAAAGCTGTTTAAAATAATACATCTTAACACTGCAACTTGTTTTTATCTTATTAATAGATTATGGGTATCTCATTAGCTCCATAATAATTTATAATAGTTGCATAAAATTCCATATGTTGTCACAACTCAGTTTATTCAGCCACCTAATTGTTTCCTTTTCTGTTACTATAAACAAGGTTTAATAAACACCTTCATTCATATATCTGTGCAGTCCTATTTCTATAGCTAGTTCCAGGTTCCTGGAATAGGAATTGCTAGATCAAAGAATATATGTATTGTAATTTGTATAGCTGTTGATGGATACATTTCCAAAAATATTATGTCAAGATATACTCCTATTAGTAATATGTCTCAGTTCCCTTGCTAACACTGTGAATTTATTATATGCCTAGTGTAAAAATTTTTAAATAAATCTTTTATATATAATGCATGTGATTATTAAAAAAAAAAAGAAAAACCCTCACAGCCATTGAGTCTGATACATAGTGTGTGTCACTATTTATGAATGAGTCTGACACATAGTATGTGTCACTATTCTGACACATAGTGACCCTCATTGGGTTTCCAAGGTTGAAAATATTTTTGGAAGCAGACTGCCTCATCTTCCTTCCACAGAGCAGCTGGTGGATTCAAACCACCAATGCTAACCACTAAACTACCACAGTTCCTGAATATATGGATAAGCACACATATTTATCCACTCATACTCTATCCCATTAACCCATTGCCATCAAGTCAATTCCAATTCATAGCAACCTATAGGACAGAGAAGAATTGCCCCATGGTGTTTCCAAGGCTATAAATCTTTATGGAAGAAGGCTGCCTTATCTTTCTTCCACACAGTGGCTGTTGAGTTTAAACCACTTAGCCACTGCACCACCAGAGTTCTTCTCATACCTTATAAAGAGTCTGTTTTCTAATTAAAGTTGCATTCACTTGCTCAGTGGAAATGTTTTTGTCCTTGGTCTGAGACTTGCTTGGTTAGGTTTTCTAGCCAGTATGATGAGACCATTGGAGCTACACACAAACGTGATAGGTATCATAAGTGTCACCCAACTGTGCCCTCAGAGGCCCCAGGCATGTGGTTCAGGAGGCTATGCAGTGCCAGGCATCAGGGTCCCAGCTGCTTTGCTTCGTTGTTAACTGGCTTTGTGACCTTGGGGAACTCATGTCTCTCCACGTGGCTTGTTGTTTTTCATCTGTTAAATGAAGGTTGGACTAGATCTCAGAAATTCTCTAAGACACTTAGGTCATTAACAGGAAGTTTGGGGTCTAGGTTTTTGGAGAGAACTAGGAAGTTAATGCAATTAAGTTACGATATACCTGAATTAAAATTATGGATGGGCTGTTAACCAGGATTCTTTCCAAGACATTCTGGTACTATCAGTTCAAACATATACCCATACACATGCATACCCCCCACACACACACACACACTTACACACCTCAACACAAAAAACAAACACATATATCAGAGAGAAAAAGAGGAAGGAAGCTATTTCCTTGTCCTGGCTTCACTATAATTTCTCTGTACACTTGGGTAACTGCTTTTTTTTTTTTTTTTTTTTTTTTTTTTTTTTTTTGCTTTTCTAACCTCAGTTTCCATCCTGACAAATGAGAGGTCTTCATTAAATGACCTTCCCGTCCTCACTTTGTGGGTGTGAATCTTATGCCAATGTCCATTCTCTTTCTGTCCCCTGTGGTCAAGGGTGATGGAGGCGGCCCCTTCATGACTGGGGTGGAACAGATTCTGCCCCTTAAAGTTAGGAAGATGTTTCCTAAAACGTTTTAGTGTCAGGCCAACTGGGGTGCTTTTAAATCCATGCCTCTCTGCTAGTGATTTGATTTGGAGTTTTGGGAGTGTGTTCTAATCTGGTACAAAGTCTGTTGGTACAAACAGAAAGAAACAAAAGGGAATAAACCAAAAACCAAACTCACTGTCATTGAGTTGGATTCGACTCATAGGAACCCCTCCTTGGGTTTCCAAGGCAGTATCTGTACAGAAATAGATTACCCAGTCTTCCTTTTGAGGAATGGCTGGTAGGTTTGAACCACCAGTCTTCAGGTTAGCAGTCATATGCCTTAGGCACTATGCAACCAGAGCTCCCAGAAAAGGGAACTGTTATTGTTGTTGTTATGTGCCGTTGAGTTGGACCCAACTCATAGCGACCGCTCCTTGGGTTGCCGAGGCAGTATCACTATGGAAGTAGATTGCCCAGCTTTCCTTAAGGGAATAGATGAGGCTAAATTGAATTTTTAATGAGGTATATCTTTGCATCAACTTAGTTTGCTCTTCAAAAGAAATATGCTCTGAAAGTTTACTTGAGTTTATTCATTAATTTCATAGCATTTATTGACCACCTACTATATGCCAAGCCCTATTCCAGATGATTGGGAAACAATGATGAATAAAATGAACCAAGAGTCCTGACCTCTTATAGTGCAGTGGGAATATGGGGAGAACAACAACAACAAGAACAAAAGCTTAATACATAAGAAAATTATGTAGTATGCTCTCTCTCTCTCTCATTGCCATCGAGGAAGATCCGACTCATGGCGACCTCTCCTTGGGTTTCCAAGGCAGTATCACTCTGGAAGTAGATTGCGCAATCATCCTTTTGGGGAGTGGCTTGTGGGTTTTGAACCACCAGCCTTGTGATTAGCAGTCAAATGCCTTAGGAAGCATAAATTCTATTAAAACACAAGCCAATAACATTTTGGACCATAAAATCATAAAAGTAAATAACCTTTCTCATCTTATAGGATAAAACATTTTTTTAAGCATTTTATTGTTTGGATAAATGTTTATAGACCAAATTAGTTTCCATTCAACAGTTTATATACATTTTGTTTCATGATATTACTTACAGTCCACTCAATGCAACAGAACTCTTTCTACTTCTGCCCTGGGTTCCCTGTTTCCATTTGCTCTTTTTTTCCTGCCCCTTCCTGGTTTCCATACTTTGTTTTGGGGGAAATACTACCTTTCTGGTCTCATAGGGTTGATTTGTTCTGAGGAGTACATTCATAGATATTATTGTTCACCTTATAGGCCTGTCTGTTATTTGGCTGAAAGGTGATCCCTTGGAGTGGGTTCAATTCCAGGCTTGAAGGGTATTTAAGGGCCATTGTCCTGGGGATTCCACCAATCTCTGTCAGACCAGTAAGTCTGGTCTTTCTTATGTTTTTAAAGTTTGTTCTACATTTTTCTCCTATTCTGTCCAGGGCCTTCTATTGTGATCCCTTTCAGAGCAGTTGGTAGTGGTAGGTGGGTACCATCTACTTCTGGTCTCATGCTAGTGGTGGCTGTGGTTCACATGGGTGCATCTTTGATTTTCATCACTCTTCTTTGCTCTGCATGAGGAGAGACCAATAGTTGTATTTTAGATGGCCGCTTGCAAGCTTTTAAGACTCCATTTGCTACTCACCAAAGTAGGATGTAGACCATTATCTTTGTGGACTAGGTTATGCCAGTTGATCTAGATGTCCCCTGAGACTGTGGTCCTAAACCCCAAATCCCAGTGTCTTAGGTTCTCAAGGTGTTGGTTATGGCCAAGAAGTTTTCATAACTTTTCCCCGTACATGCTCTATTATATACATAGATATATATGTAGCATATGCAAATACGTTTATAGAAATGTCCTCAGCCAAGCCTGTATATGTTTGTGGGTGTACTCCCACATGCCATTCCTTACCTCTTCATCTTGCCTGTCTACCTATGTAGCTGCTTGCAAATTATTTTTTCCTTATTACTATTATTGTGTTGATAATAGTATTTTGCATAGTTATCTTTTACTCTGTGTACCTTCTAGTGTCTTCCTTTGTCTTGGTCATGTTGTATTGACCTCCCACTTATTATATATTGCCTTTCCCTTCACCCAAGGTAATACTACAAGGTAATGTCTACTCTCTAGTTACTCATTTTCCCTCCCTCCTCCTCCCATC